CTTTGTGAGGGGCTGCGCCGTGAGGCGGCCGCCATTTTGGTGAGGGCGCTTCTGCTCAGCGCTCTTCGGCGGAGCGGCCCGAGCGTGGCGGCGGCGCTGGCTGTGTGAACCCTTCTTATCGTGAAGACAGCCGAAGACGTACGTCAGGGTGGCTTGCGGCAGTAGGAGCGGTGCCGGCTGCTTTTGCCGTTGTTGCTCACAGCCACCTCTGCCTGCTCCAGGGGTGACAGATGAGGGATAGTTGGGGAAGGACTAGTAGGCTGGAAGGCCAAGGTGGGAACTCTTGATCCCTCTTGGACCTGCCTTGACCTGCCCATCCACGCCTCAGAGACTGCTGCTCCCTATGGGGGGAGGGTATTGGCAAGGGTCTTCAGTGTGGGGGCCTGTCAGAAGGCAAAACCAGACTGGATGGTTGTTGGTTTTCCCCCAAGGGGAGCCACCTCTATCCTTCGACTTTCCACACTGCTCAAGCCACTCCAGACCAGCTCTTGTATTGCTGGGTGTCAGGACTCACCAGGGAAGAAAGTGATGTCTCAGAAAAGCAAGGCACCAACAGGACCGCTGTTATGCTGTGTGTTATGATTCCTGAGAATTTCAGGTTGTCCTTGGGGCTTCCTTCCCAAATACTAGCTTTATACTAAAGCATCTACAGGAAGAGCCAGCTGTTTGATCTACCAGGAGATAGCACTTTGTGCACACTCGCCAGTTCACTGCAGGATGCTAATCACAATGTTACATATGCATGGAAGCTTTTGTCCTGACTCAAGAAAGCTTTTTATGGAACACTGCTATCTTGTATTAAAAAAAAAAAAAAGGCAAGAAACACCACTGAAATGCATCTGTCTTCAGGGTAGGACATGACTGCTACATGACAGAACAGCAGAACTATTTGCCACCAAAAAATGGAAGGCTGGGCAGCAGCAGCATTAGACACAGAGTTTTCATTTTGGCTAAATACTCTCTGTTGACTGAAATTTTGCTAGGATGGCAGGAGTGCAGATGCCTTATAGAAAGAGTGATAATACTAATACCTAATTAGTGTGTTTCACTTTTCTTTAAAAAAATACCCTATATTTTTACTACAGGAGGTGGTATGTGTTGGTAAGTGCATCAGTCTTATTTTGTCTCTGGAGAAAAAGAGGGATAGTTGTAGTTTTCTCTGCTTCCCAGTCTGGTACTTGAGTTTCTGTTATGGAGCCTACACTGCTGAACCCAAAGGAGCCAGAACTCCCACCTCCACGGTGAGATACAGAGAACTGCTTTCCAGTCAGAAGCAGCTCAGTCAGAAGGCAGTAAAGAAGCTGAGTATGACCCAGCCAGAAGCTCCGAGAAAGCACAGCACCAGGGGGAGGGAGAAAATGAAGAAGCAGGAGAATGTTATTTTTCCCCTTTTAGACAGCAGACTTGCTTGGTGAGTGTAAATACAATTTTAAAATGCATAGAGGTTTGAAGAAAACCCATCTGTTATGGTTTGCAATGGGATGAAATAGCCATCAGTTCAACATAAAGCGTTTTCTGCTTTAAAAAGGTGAGTATTGATTCAGAGGAGGACTGTCAATTTTCACATACGCGCTTCTCCGCAGATACACATACATACACTGTTTTACAGGCAGATGAGCGTGACCTCTGTTGTCACATCTTGTGGGAAGACAGAAAATGGGAACTGGTTCCTCCCTCAAAAACAAACCACCATTCCCACCATTGCAAGCAGCAGTTTTCAGTTCACCTGTTACTCCTCCTGGCCCTCCTGAATTCACC